AGAATAAAGAGAAGAGAGAAAGGAAGAAGGAAAGAGGGAAAGATGAGAAGAGAAGAGAAAGAGAAAGCGAGGAAAGAGGAAAGAGGAGAGAAGAGAAAGAGAAAGAGAAAGAGAAAGAGGAAAGAGAAAAAGAAAGAGAAAGAGAAAGAAAAAAAAGGAAAAAGAAAAAGAAAAAGAAAAAGAAAAAGAAAAAGAAAAAAGAAAAGAAAGAAAGAAGAGAAGAAAGAGAGTAAGAGAGAAAGAAAAAGTCTTGAAACAACGCCTTTGCTCAGAACATGTGTCGTGCTTGTCTCGCGTGGAAATAAAGTTGGTGATGCCAAAAGCAATAATGAAATGACACTCTTTTCCGTCACACGTCTTTGACACTTTGTTATCTGATTCATCTTCGTTATTCTTTTCCTCTCTTGTTATTGGTGTCCGCGATTTCATTAAGGTTTTGTTTATATAATTATCCTAATATCCTTGTTCGCTATCAGTAAGAATAATAATCCGTTTATCTTATGGTTATATGTTATATATGTCTGTATAATCTTAACACACATACACATACACACACGCTCACACAAACACACACATAAATACATACAAACACACACATCTCTCCTCAACATACACACACACATCTCTCCCCAACATACACACACACACACACACACACACACACACTCCCCTTAACACCCCTCCCCCTCCCTACAGACACCTATTACCACTGCAACAAGACATCAACATTATCGTACATCGTGTCAACAGATCTGTCTTTCCTGACAAGCACTTTTCGCTCAACTGAAACTCGTTATTAGAGACTAATTAATGTTTTGATATACAATTATTATCATTTAGATTCCGGGTTTTATTATCATTAAAGGGATAGCAAGGCAGCGTTGTAATGTGTGTTATTGTTTGTGACTTTGTTTGGATGTTAGTTTGTATGTCTGTGTCTGTGTCTGTGTCTGTGTCTGTGTCTGTCTGTCTGCTTGCTTGCCTACCCACATCCCTCTACTCTTCCCCTACCTTGCCTTGCCTTCCCATGCCTTCTCCTATCTATCTGTCTATCCATCTATCTATCAATCACTCAAATCTACCTCCTTCCTATCTTCCTTACCTACCCACCCACCCACCCACCTACCTGATCCCACCGTCCGTCCCCCCCCCCACCCCCCAGCTAGCCTCCATCTTTCCAATCCATTTCTGTTTTTCTTTCATGGCCTCCGTCCTGACCTCCATTCCTGGCCCCCGATCCCGACCTCCATTCCTGGCCCACCGTCCGTACTCATTCCTGGCCTGCATTCCCGGTCCCCATTCCTGACCTCTATTCTTAGCCTTCGTTCATCAACCATTCCTGGCCTCCGTTCCTAGCGTCCCTCCCGTTCCCGGCCCCCGTTCCTGACCTCCATTCGCCCTCCGTCCTAGTTCCTCCATTCCTGGCCCATTTCTCCATTCCTGGCCCCCGTTCCCGTTCCCTCCTTCCTGGCCCCCGTTCCCGTTCCTCCATCCTGGCCCCGTCCCATTCCTCCATTCCTGGCCCCGTTTCCCCGTTCCTCCATTCCTGGCCCCCGTTCCCGTTCCTCCATTCCTGGCCCATTCCCGTCCTCCATTCCTGGCCCCCGTCCCATTCCATTCCTGGCCCCCGTTCCCATTCCTGCCCCCGTTCCCATTCCTCCATTCCTGTTCCCGTTCCTCCATTCCTGGCCCCCGCTCCCATTCGTCCATTCCTGGCCCCCGTTCCTGTTCCTCCAATCCTGGCCCGTCCCATCCTCCATTCCTGGCCCCCTTCCCGTTCCTCCATTCCTGGCCCCCGTTCCCCGTTCCTCCATTCCTGGCCCCCGCTCCCCCATTCCTGGCCCCCGTTCCCGTTCCTCCATTCCTGGCCCCCGTTCCCGTTCCTCCATTCCTGGCCCCCATTCCCGTTCCTCCATTCCTGGCCTTCCCGTTCCTCCATTCCTGCCCCCGTTCCCATTCCTGTTGGCCCCCGTTCCCGTTCCATTCCTGTTCCCGTTCCATTCCTGGCCCCCGTTCCCGTTCCTCCATTCCTGGCCCCCGTTCGGCCCGTTCCGTTCCATTCCAATTCCTCCATTCCATTCCGTTCCTCCCTGGCCCCCCATTCCCGTTCCTCCATTCCTGGCCCCCGCTTCCCGTTCCTCCATCCTTGCCCCGTTTCCCGTTCCTCCAATTCCTGGCCCCGTTCCCGTTCCTCCATTCCTGGCCCGTTCCCGTTCCTCCATTCCTGGCCCCCGTTCCTTTCCATCCCCCCCGTTCCCGTTCCTCCATTCCCTGGCCCCGCTCCCGTTCCTCCATTCCTGGCCCCCGTTCCCGTTCCTCCATTCCTGGCCCCCGTTCCCGTTCCTCCATTCCTGGCCCCCGTTCCGTTCCTCCATCCCCCCCCGTCCCATTCGTCCATTCCTGGCCCCGTCCCGTTCCTCCATTCCTGACCATTCTGGCCTTCCGTTCCCGTTCCCATTCCTGGCCCCCGTTCCCGTTAGGATTCTGGCCCTTCCATTCCCCCATTCCTGGCCCCGTTCCCGTTCCTCCAATCCTGGCCCCCTTCCCATTCCCTCCATTTCCTGGCCCCCATTCCCGTTTCCTCCATTCCTGGCCCCCGCCCCATTCGTCCATTCCTGGCCCCTTCCCTTCCTCCATTCCTGGCCCCCGTTCCCATTCCTCCATTCCTGGCCCCCGTTCCCGTTCCTCCAATCCTGGCCCCCGTTCCCGTTCCTCCATTCCCACCGCGCCCCTCTCGCCTAACTCCGTCTCTCCCGGTGAAGGACGACCTCCCTTCGAAGACGACCCATGTGTAGATCTGCCTGGACGCGAGTCAGCTTTGCAACGGAGTCTTTGTGTTCTGTCAGTCTCCTTGTTTTTATTTTTGTTTAGCTTTCTTCCTGTATGGTTGTCTATCTCTCTTTTTTATCTTTCTTCTCCATCTCCATTTCCTTCCCTCTCTCCCTCTCCCTCCTCAAAAAAGCATTAAAAAAAGATCATAGTATGGACTCTTAAAGAACCTTGTATACGTTTTAGACAGACGACGAAAACCCCAACGAAAAAAAAACAATGAACCGGAACCATACGGGAAAGGCTACATCAGGAGTAACTCGAGGAGGTGTCACGGCGTCTGATTCTATTTTTGGAGAAAAAAACGCACATGGGGTTTATTTTGATGACGTCACAATATGGTCGATCATTTTGGTCTCTTCAGTTTCCACAAAGGATGGAAAATAATGATTTAAATGGTTATATTTTCATGGAACGATCATCAAAACAGTCGCCATGGCACCTCCTCGAGTTGTTACTGATCTAGCATTTCTCGTATGATTCTGGTTCATTGGTTTTTTCGTTGGAATTTTCGTCGTCTGTCTAAAACGTACACAAGGTTCTTTAAGAGTCCATACTATGACTTTTTTTAATGCTTTCTTGAGGAGGGAGAGGGAGGGAGGGAAGGAAATGGAGATGGAAAGAAAGATAAAAAAGAGAGATAGACAACCAGACAGGAAGAAAACAAAAATAAAAACAAGGAGACTGACAGAACACAAAGACGACGACGAACATAAAAAAAAAGAAAGAAAAAAAGAAAAATGCAGAAACAAGAGGGTGACAAGCGGGACCTCCGCGTACATGTCTCTTCTTACATCCCCCCTCCTCACCCCACCCCTTACACACCCCCTCCCTCCTCCCCCTCCACCCCACCACCCTCCACACCCATATCCCTCCCCCTCCCCCTAACACACTGGGGGAGGCGGTCTATTCAATCAACAACAAAAAAAATAAACCCTGGGAGATTTGGCTCCATTCGAGACGACTAAAATTTCTCACAAAGGGCGACTCTAAGAAAGAAGAAAAGAAAAGTGGAAAAGATGAGAAAAAGATGGGAAAAAAATATTTATCCCTGTAGACGCAAAAGAAGAGAAAAATATCCCTGGAGTCGATTCTAAGAAGAAAAATAAAGAAAAGGAGACATCTTTTTATCTTTTTTCATTTACAAACCCTTTTCTCTCTTTCTCTCTCTCTCTCTCTCTCTCTCTCTCTCTCTCTCTCTCTCTCTCTCTCTCTCTCTCTCTCTCTATATATATATATATATATATATATATATATATATATATATATATATATATATATATATATATATATATATATATATGCGTGCGTGTGTGTGTAAAGATTAAATCCTTTGTCAAACACCCTTGTCATATATCCCTTGTCATAAACCCTTGACATCCTTGTCAAAACCCCTTGTCATACATCCTTTGACAACCTCACCGAGAGACGATCTTGCAAAGCATCAAGGAAAGGGGGGGGGGAGGAGAAATCACATGATTGCATTTCCTACTTACCTACCTACCTGTCGGTCTGTCTGTCTATCTGCCTACCTATTCACCGATTCATCTATCTACCTGCCTTCCCTACTTCCTTATCTATTTATCTACCTACGCTACCCTGCCTACCCTACCCTCCCTTCCTCCCTCCCTATCCACACTCACCCACCCTACTTACCCACCTCTTACCATACCCATTACCATAACCCATACAACCCTTCCCAACCCCATTTCCATATCTTCTTAACTCACCCACCCATCCATCACCCATCACCCATCTCATCCCATTAAAAGAACACAGTGCGCAACACACTCCCGAATTTTCGCAAACAATTGCCACGCTTTGCCCCCCCCCCCTTCTCCCCTTCTCCCTTTCCCTCTGTCCCTCTCCCACCCCTCGCTCTCTCCTCCAACTCCCCATCCCCCGCTCTCTTCCCTCCCCCCCCCCCCCTCTCCTCTCCCCCACCTTTCCTCCCTCCCTCTCCCCCCCTCTCCCCGCTCTCTCCCTCCCTCTCCCCCGCTCTCCCTCCCTCTCCGCTCTCTCCCTCCCTCCCACCCCCCTTTCTCCCTCCCTCTCTCCACCCCCTTTCCCCCTCCCTCTCCCCCACCCCCCTTTCTCCCTCCTCTCCCCTACCCCCCGCTCTCTCCCTCTCCCCCCCACCCCCGCTCTCCTCTCCCCCTTCTCCCCACCCCCTTTCTCCTCCATCTCCCTCCTCTTCCCCTTCCCTCTCCCTCTCCCCCCATCTCTCCCTCCCTCTCCCCTCTCTCCATTGGAGACCCGCGCTGTACTCCCCCCCCCCCCCCCCCACGTGTCCGATCCGCAATCTGGTTAAAACTTTCTCGCGTCTTTTTTTCGCGTTTAATTGGCGGGACGAAAAGCTGGCGTTCTCAGATGGGACGAATCTCGAATCTTTTTTTTTTATCTATTTTTTTTCTCTATTTGGGTGTGTTTTCTTTTTTATCTATTTTTTTTCTTTCAAACTGTCCTCCTTTTCTTTCTTAATCGGATTATTTATTTTATTTTATTTTTTTTACGAACTGCCTCCGTTTTCTTTTCCTTAATCCGATTTTCTTTTTCTTCTTTTTTGTGTGTATCTAATTATTTGCAAGATGACAAATTACTTTCCTTTTCTTTTCGCATTTCTTTTTCTTTTTTTTCCTTTTCATCTTCCTTCTTCTTCACCTTCTCTTTCCTTTTTTCTTTCTTCTCGTACTCGGTACTTTTTCCTTTTTTTCCTTCCGTCGTTCTTCAACATCTTTCTTTTTCTTTTATTTTTCCTCCTGATCTACAAAGAATTTTCGTTTTGCCTTAATTTGATATCCATCTTTCCTCTAAGAATTTCTACGTGGATTACAAACCAAGGAAATGTTATCTCTATGATCTGATAATCTCAAATTTAAATTTATCAAATTAAAGTTATTAATCCAAGGAAATGTTATGATCTGGATTCTCAAATTCTTTAACAAATGGATGATACTAATTGGATCTATCGACAATGCGAAGGAGAGTGACTTCCTTATCTAATTCTCTCTCTCTCTCTGTCCTTCTCTCTCTCTCTCTCTCTTTCTGTTTCTCTCTCTATCTGTCTGTCTGTCTCTCTCTCTCTCTCCCTCGCCTCTGTATCGCTCTCTCCTCTCTTATCTCTTTCTTCAACTCTCTATCTCCTCTCTCTCACTCTTCAACTCTCTCTTTCTCTTCTTTATCTACCTCTCTTTCTCTTCTTTATCTACCTCTCTTTCTCTTCTGTTCCTTTTTATTTCTTTACTCTTCTATTCTCTTCTCCATCTCCCTCTCCATTTCTTTCTCTTCTCTCTCTTTAACTCCCTTTTCTCTCCTTTCACTACTCTCCTCTCCTCTCTTCTCATTTCACCCTCTCCCTTTCTTTCTCTTCTCTCCGTGTTTCTCTCTCCATTCTCTTTTCTTTATGTTTCTCCCTCTTCCTTCCCTTCTCTTCTCATCTTTCCCCTTCCCCTTTCTTCATCAGATATCTGTATTTACTCAACATCTCCCTTTCCCCGTAACAAACACAGAATCAAACCGAAAGAAAAAAATGCATACACAAAAAAACGAAAAAATATATACATACATACTCAAAAAAGAAAGAAAAAATTATATACATACACACAAAAAAGGGCAAAAAATATATATATATATACATTAAAGACAAAACAAAACATATATATACACATACTCAAAAAAAAAAAAAAAAAAAAAAAATATATATAATATATATATATATATATTATATATACATATATTTAAATATATACAAAAAAAACAACGAAAAAAATATATTTATATACATACTCAAAAAAAAAAAAAAAAAAAAAAAAAAAAAAAAAAAGCCGAACACAAACACCTCGAAGTAATTCCCGAGTAAACAAAACCTTTCCTCCCCGTCGCCGCAATTCACTCCAAATTGCAAATACAGACGCGGGCGTTTGCAAGCCATCAGCCGTTGCATATTTGATGACGAAGCCGGAATCGAAGCCTCGGGAGCTAATTGGCGCGCTGTTTCCGGCTGTCGATGCTGAATGGGGGGTTATGCGGTCTATGTTGTTTTTTATGTGGGCTGTGTTGTTTTTATGCGGTCTATGTTGTTTTTATATGCGGTCTATGTTGTTTTTTATGCGGTCTATGTTGTTTTTATGCTATGCTATGTTGTTTTTATGTGGTCTGTTGTTTTTGTGTGGTCTATGTTGTTTTTGGTGTTGTTTTTATGCGGTTTATGTTGTTTTATGTCTATGTTGTTTTTATGCTGTCTATGTTGTTTTATGCGGTCTATGTTGTTTTTTGTCGTGTTTTATGCGGTCTATGTGTTCTTATGTGGTCTATGTTGTTTTTATGTGGTCTATGTTGTTCTTGTGTGGTCTATGTAGTTTTATGTGGTCTATTTTCTTTTTAAATTGTCAGTCTTCATAAAGTCCAATTTATCTTTCTCACTTGCCTGTCCGTCAATCTATCTACGCTCGAGAGATATTTCAATCTCTGCTGAACTTTCCGACACGTATAATCTCATCAAACTCACGCAGGAAAATATGATGTTTTATCTCTTTTCGTTTTTTTTTTTATATATTATCAGTCTGTTTTATAGCATATTTCTTTTCCTGTTTTGTCATAATTTTATCTCTCCTCTATATCTATCTTTTCTTTTAAATATCATTATTTTTTTTCCTGTTTATCTATCATTTCGTTTAATTATCATTATTCTCATTCCCTTATATCTATCTATTCGTCTATCATTATTCTCATTCCCCTACATCTATCAATTCGTCTATCATTATTCTCATTCCCGTAAATCCATCTTTCCGTCTATCTATCATTATTCTCCTTTCCCTACATCTATTTTTTCCGTTTATTTACCATTCTTCTCTTTTCCGTGTCTCCATTTATCTTTCCATTTTATGCATCATTCATTTCATTTATTTTTCATAATTCCATTTCCTGTGTATTTACAACTTCCACTTTCATCCAAAATTCTCGTTAA